TTCACAGAGAATGATTCGTTCACAGCGAAAGAGTCACGAGTCAAAAATCTTTCATGACTCGGGAATCACGAGTCATATGAAAGATTCGTTCATTTTGAACGAATCACTCGCGAAGGACACATCACTAGTTCACAGCGAAAGATTAGTTCACAGCGAAAGATTAGTTCACAGAGAATGATTCGTTCACAGCGAAAGATTAGTTTGCAGAGTAATTAGATCGTAGTGAAAGATTAGTTCACAGTGAAAGATTAGTTTGCAGAGAGTAATTCGTTCGTTGTGAAAGATTAGTTCACAGTGAAAGATTAGTTCGCAGAGAGTGATTTGTTCGCAGTGAGTGATTAGTTCGCAGTGAGTGATTTGTGAGTGATTCGTGAGTTCAATATGAACAAATATTTAATATGACCCGGTTGTCACGAGTCACGAATCTTTCATATGACTCGTGACTCCCGAGTCATATGAAAGATTCGCTCATTTTGAACGAATCACTCGCGAACGACACATCACTACGAAGCAGGCAGGACACCGAATGAGCACGAAGGAGAAATTCTTCAGGTGCAGGACGTTCATTCCTGAAGTGCAAAAATCACTGAGTCACAGTAAGACAAGGCATGAACAACTAGGCATGGCCACCAAACACACCACAGAAAGCACACACAGTAATCCCATGAAGACAGAGTGAGGGAGAGAGGTTTATATGCCCAGGGCACCAGGTGACAGGAGTGAGACTAACGACACAGGTGAGTGTGATCACACTGATTAATTCCGCCTACAGGAGGAAAGGGAGACAGACAGACCTCACACACTGTATTGGTTTTAAATAATACAGAGTGGGTGAACAGTATTGTGAGATAATAGTTCTCCAAGTCATGTCACAAGCATGGTTAAATGATAATTTGATTTTAATCAAATTCTATTTTACAGCCAATATAATTTAAAAATGATAAATTCAAACCAAAATTGCAAAAAAAAAATAATTAATTAAAATTGACAATGTTTCTTTGTATGGGGGTTTGAAGGTGTAACCTTGTACCCTCTCATCTCTGTTCTCCTTTTCAACCATATGAATGCATAAAATAAAACCCTTTTTTTTTCTGTGTACACATTGACCCGCTTCACACAGACAACCAGACAGAAAACACACGCATGCAGACAATCAAGAGTGTAAGGTCCCACATAGTTCAAAAGCTAGTGAATAATAAAAGCCTCACACTGGACCAGGCCGTCTGTCTGCAAAACTGGGCTGTCTGTGACATGAATATAATTTTTTGTTGTATATATGTGTGCGCGCGCGTGTGTGCTCTCTACGGTAACTAGATGATTTATTCATTGTTTACTGATGAGGAAGCATTTAGGCTCCCAGGAGTGGTGCGCAGAAGCAGGCCTCACCTCTCTGCTCATGCCTTCCCCATCTCTCCTCCCCCTCTTCCTCTTCTATTACCTATTTGCCCCCACCACACTTTTGTCATCTCACTCCATTATTGGAGTTGTTGGTTCTGACATCACACCTTTGTGGAATAATAATGCAGTGACAAAATGTTCTGATGGTTGGAACTCTGACTTTTAGTTTGGGCTGTTTGGGTTTTTCTTTGTATTTGCATGACTTTACTAACTGGACAGACAGGTAGAGTCTCCCACATATGCTCATGTGTGTGTTTTAAGTATTTTTCTTCATGTTAACAAGGGCATTGTAAAGAGGTAATTTCTGAGGTGAGGGAACATCCTTCATAATTTCATCATTTTTCCCTGGCTGTCAGCAGCATGGCTAATATCTAGCCCTAAACCATGACAGAGCTGTGTCTAAATGTGCTTTATTGAACGTTACTAACATTTATTGTTGTGTTTTTGATGTCATTTGCAAACAAACCTCAGTTTTAGAGAACAGGAAAAGCTGGTGTAATGCCTGGATTAATAATAGGTTCCAGAGCAGACAATGATCAAAGATCAGTTTTTAGGAAATAACAATCACTTACAAATAACAAACACTTTTGTAAAATACAAGGGCATTGGGGTCTTTAGGAGGAAAAAACACAGATGTAAGACAAATCCTTACAGCAAATCAAACTCAAAGACATTTAAAGCCATAAACACTGCAAAATGTTTTAAATTTGTCCCTACAAGAGCAGGAAAACGTGCATAAACACACACACACACACACATACACTTACTAGGTGAAACACATTGAACACACACTCTAATCAAGCTCCTATTACCAGGAGGAGACTGTAACACCAGAGGACCAAACTCCCTTTATCTAATTGGTCTGCTGAGAAAATTGCCAAGCTGTTCACATCTGCAGAGATCATGCACACATACATACAGACCATTCCATACCAATCACCGCCAATCCCTGGGCAGTGTTGGTGGTTCCATGCTTTCCTTTATCCTGTGGTTCATCCTGTGCTTTCAGCTCCATCTGTCCAAATTACCACAGGCAGGGACCCCAATCCCTGGAACAGAACCTAAACACACACACGCATGGTATGCTTAGCCAAGGACCACCTTAAACTCTACTAAAAAAAGTCCATGGTTTTTCAGTCTATTGGTTTGGTTTATGACATGCCGCCCTCCCTCCTTTCAAGAAGCAAACAGCTTCCTAAAGTGACAGGACAGCATGAAGCAATGATAATAAATGAAATTCTTCCAAAAATTACCACAGATGATATAAGCTAAGGTGTGTTATGGTTGTTTCTGTGTCCACTGCAGGGAGGTAGGTTGTAGCCCATCAACGGTACAGCTTGATTTTGGTGGTGATGTGCATTTGAATGGAGCAGTAAAAATGGCAGCCCTGTGAGGTAAAAGACTGTATTGGTTTGGTTTGTGACATGCCCCCCTCCTCTCCTTTCTTTCTTTCTCTCTCTCTCTCTCTCTCTCTCTCTCTCCCTCCCTGAGTGTGTGTTTTTGTGTGTAGGTATTTTCCCATCTGGAGCAGCCGTTGTGCTTCTTATTAAACAAAGCCTATCTAAATCTGACCTAATCCTTTCCCATAGCAAGCGCTGACTGTGCATATCAGACACTCAAACGTTTCTGTGCCATTTTCTAGCGTTCAGCAGCACATTCTGTCTACTCCATCCGACGGGGGACAAATTTCCTTTTTTCATGCAGACGCATGGTTTTTCATTTTGAGAGCATTATTTCCTAATTTTACCTTTAGATTTTTGTATCGCCGTCTCTCGAAAGAACCCTCCAAAGACCTTCAGCACATGCAAATTGTACTCTGACTCTGCTTAATCATGTTTGTTTGTTTTTGTTTGTGTGTACGTTCTCGCGCACATTTCATACACACACCTTGTAACATTGTAGTTTGACTAACTTCTTTTGCTTTGAACGTTTTTATGCTAATGTACAAGCCCAGAATAAAATTAGCATCAGTTCAAAGCAATGCACTTTGTCTTGGTTTTAGTCATGTCCTCGGTGTTTGAGTTCAAGTTCGAGTCCTTGGTGTTTCGTTCTAAAAAAGGTCAAGAGTCAAGGTTTTACCAAATAATAAAAAAAGTGAAAAGCAATGATGTCATCGTTGTTTTTGTTTTTTTTAAAGCAGTAGAATTGAAAGTAGAAGTTTTAAAAATCTCTTCAAATTAATTTCAACTTGCTTCAAGCTGTTTTACTTTTGTGTCCCAATTTCTTTTGTTTGTATTTAAGAATCTATTTGTGTGTGCAGTACTGGAACTCTCCAGAATCCTCTCCACAGTATTGTGTGGTGTCAATCGTGACGATATGAGCAAATGTGTGCTGTTCCAGACTCATTTGCAGGGTTCTCCATTAACGCACGGTTCATGGTCTGATCGAAGACCATAAGTATACAAGAAAAGCACTTTGTCAGGACATCATCATCTAATGCCACATAAATACAGTACAACTTTATTCATCTCATGCAGTCATTTCAACAGAAATCGAATATTCTTGGCAAAAAAGCAAATGTTCCAAATGCATTGAAAGATTATTGCTGTGTGAGGTGTCTTCAGGCAAGGAGTGGAAGCAGCCGGTTGATGGTCGATTTGTTTTAATAACAAACATCAAACAAAACAGGTCCAACAATAAAGCAAAATAAACGACTGGAGAAGTATTCAAGGAAATCTCGTACAACAGTAGTTAATATGCAAATCCTGTCAAGAATAACTTCTCACTTCTCAAGACTTCTCAAGAATAACTTCTAAAGTATCGTTAGTTGTTTATGCTTATATACCTGTATGGGGGGAGTGGTTTTCGACTTCCTGGGTGTGTGTTTAAATCTTGTAGGCCAATGGAAGAGAGAGGCTAGGCCTCTTGTGGCCCATCATATTATTGTTCTTTTTATCATGTGATGCCTGCAGTCGCCACTACGTGGTACTCTTGTTCCATGATTCAGCAGTGTTGGAAGAACCTTATGTTGCTCAGTGGGGGGTTATCACAAGGGAAGTGGACCGAGCCATAAAGTCCAGTCAACCACAGGTGGTCATGTGGATCAAAAGGAATGGATGGCTTCGGGGTTCCCTGTGAGAAGGTAGATTGGGAGATCTCCCATTGTTGTGTGAAGATCTCCCATTGTTCCCAGGGAGTAGAGGTGTTTTAGAAAGTTGGTGTGAAGAGAATTTGGGGAAATTCTCTTTGAATGTGTGGGGCTATGTGACTGTGTGTGCTCGGGAAAGCCTTTTGGTGTCTTAGCACCTTCCTGCTGCACACCCAACCAAATGTGAAAAACCACTGAAATCTAACAGCATGGAATCTACAATGCTGACATTTATAAAGTTGTGCGCTACGACCAATCAGCTGTAACAATGATGAGGATGAGGAGCATTTTAGTAGTTGAACCATTTTCCAGTAAGTTGTAGTATCACAGTGTAGGAGCTGTTACCAAAGACATTTCCATAGTTTCTGCCTCATTGTTAGGATTCATATGAAAAAGCAAAAATCATCAGTTTATTCTGGGCTGTTGGCTTTTGTATTACATAGAACTAGATTTACACTCATTAGTAATTAATATAAGTTGGCAGGCTAAGTGTGTATTGGTGTATGTGCACACAGTTGTTTCCACGCATCCACTGTACCCTCCAAAACCTTGCATCATCTGTTTTTAAAGTATAATGAACTTTTAAACATTATTATGTCCAAAAAATAATATGACACAAGTTACTGCAGCAAAAGGGTAAAAAGGGACAAAAGACTGCAACACAACAGTGAGTCCATGTTACTGCACTACATCTACATATATCTAAGGCAGGGGTGGAGAACCCTTTTTTTCCCTATCCTGGGACATCTTAATTTTTGATCCTGGGACATCTTAATTTTTACATCTTAAATACGCAATTCATGTCTCACTGACTTCTGTCATATAATGTCTGGAAAGGCTTCTCTTTTTGGGAGGCATCTGATGTGATATGGCAGTGATAATGATAATGTGGGTTTTAGCCAAAACTACTTGTGCAATCATGTCCTCACCTTTTATTGCGTCAGGCATGACTTATGAAAACAGAAACACTTCTTCATATGATGCTGCAGACAGATGTTTGCTGTGCATCTACTGTAGATCATTCGTATCTACTGTATGTGTGAGGTCATTGTAGCTGTTATTACTGTCAGGTTTATTCTAACATATATGACAACAAAGTAACAACACAAAAGACGTCTGGATCTTTTACTTGCAAGGGGAGAGTGCAGCTTACTCTTCTGGCAGCTTCCTCATCAACTCAGAGTAGCCCCACCCTTCTGTAGCAGTACGAGCGTTTCTGTTTTGTTTTTCCCTCGCTCTTTCTGTTGACTGTTGCTATGGTTTCCCTCCCTCACTTCCGCCAGTCGTTGAGGGAGCGGGTATAAAAACGGTAGTCCGCCCACCGGGTCTTCCTCTGCGCTCCCATCATCACCCGTGTTACTTTCGGGTCAGAGGTCGTGTGCCCGACAGGTATGGCCGCCTGCTTCTTCACCTTGCTCGTCGTTTTGTTTGTTCTTATACTTAAGGTATTTGTAATTGTTGTTGTAGGACGACTGTTTGTGTGCTGCTCCGTGCTCCCTGTGTGTGCTGCTGTGGTCATTGGCCGGTGGTGAATGCTGGCGGCTGCCTGGAGTCCAATCCTTCCTCCTCGTGAGTGTGTGTTCTGAGAAGGTGTTGTAACCACCTCATTGGGCCGCTGCTGCTTTGTTTGGTGTGATTTTGTGCTGCTTTCACTGTATTGGCGTTTATCTGTTGCTGCCTACGGCGTTCTTCTGCGGCCGTCAGCGGCTTCACGGCTTCCAAGATACACGCTGTGCAGGACGATTGTTCGGCCGTACACCGCCGTCTGGGCATAAGCATTTTTTTCTTTTATTGGGGACTACCCTACTAATGTGCTATTCTTTTTCC